TAATTCTCACATAAAACAAAACTAAAGGCAGCTGAAAATCATGGTTTCTGTGGCGTTTGGTAGTTATACCTCTCGCCTCAGTCACACTAGTTACAAATCTGAAATTTCGTCAAAGCAACCATTTCAAAAGCAATCGAATCAAAGTTGTTGCATGCAGTCGTAATAACCGTGCCAACCACTGTTTTCTTTTGTGTGACTGTACCATAAGTGAATTGCGCTTGTGCAAGGTTACACCTCTTTTAGGTGTGGTAACTGAAGCAACTGATTTATTTGAAACCAGAAAAGGCAAGTGAAGCTGCCTGGAAATAATTTAAACTTAGTTCTTCCTCTGACACAATAGTTTAAAGGCAGACTATCAAATAATAATAACATGGTTTCTATCAGAATGTAATCAGTAAAGCACAAGCTGTTTAATACTAAAGTATTTTTGCTTGAGAGCACTCAATTAGCAAAAAAGCTAATAGACTTGGTTTCTGAGTCTATGGTTAACAGCAATACCAACTATGATAAGCAGCTTTTTATACTCTGAGCCAATATTTGTCTTCGAGCAGGAACTATGTTTTGGCGACACTCCAGGGCAACCACTGACCTCGCATTCACTCTTTGCTTTTAACTTGAGTAAATGAAACAAAAGAGACAGAAACATGCCTGAGAAATAATTATACAAGAGTGCATCTCTGTCTGCACAAAGCAAACATAACTGTATCGTTTAACATGCCAAGAAAGGAGGAACAACACACAAAACACTTGTAACTTATGTTAGCAGACTTGATATTAAAGTATCAGTAATTTTATGCTGAGACTTTCAAAAGAATATATATAAAATACTGATGCACCGTACAGAGCAAGTATGTGTGTGCATATGTGTGTGCGCAGCGGAGCACCTGCGAGGCTGTCAGGTCGCGTCATTCTCTCGTAAATGTCGTAACTCTGGGGTCCGTAGGGGTCGGTGTTGTGGAGCACGGAGCGGGGCAGAGTGGAGCTGTAGTGCTGGGGCACGGCAGTCATACTAGCCCTGACTGGAGACGAAGTGTGAGTAGGCTGTTTAGTCAGCGGAGGGTTGACGTTGTCGACCATCGTCAGAGGTGAGCCCATGCGGCCCGAGGGTGACCCTGCTGAGGCCTGGTAGGGTGAGGTGGTGCGGCTAGATCGAGAGTTTGTGGAGCCCATGCGACGCAGCGCAGCGGGGGAGTTTTTCTGAGTATTGTAGGGTGAGCCACTGCTGCCGCCGCCCGTAGTACTGGTTCGCTGGGCAGAGGGCAATGTTGTAGAATAGATGGCGGAGAGGGGTTTGGGTTCTGTAACAATGGGGGAGCCGTAGGCACTACCAACTGAGGTACGCAGGGAACCACGGGAGGGGGACATACTGCTCGCGTAGGCTGGCGAGTGAGAGCGAGAAGGCACTGAGCTGACCCTTCGCATAGCTCGGCCAGGCACTGCTGTTGTGACCTGCAAGCAAGAGGAAAAAAAAGAAAAAGGCGCTGTGGTTTAGTTCTTACATTCAGGAGGAGCTATAAAATGATGTACTGTAATAATAATGACATGCTACATAAAACAACATTGCATAAAACAATTCATCACAGGGCACGACTTTACTCTGGGACATATTTATTTTCCTTGTGCTCCCCTCCTCTGTTGTGTGACGGCGCCATTTGGTTTCTCAGCAGTCTCTATATACGAAGCTGTAAGAAGCGTGATTAGGTTGTGGGGCTCGATCCCTCGGTGCATTAAAGCCATAAATCACTAACAAACTCAACAACAATTCTGGAGCAATTAAACTTCACGACCCTTTGAACAAGACGTATGATGAGATAAATCTTGACTTAAACAACCGTCAGTACCTGGGCTGAAGCCTGTCCCTCAGCCCTGGCATTCCTCATCAGCGTGCCAGTACCGGGGAAGGAATGCTGCACCCTTAGTTCAGCCTTGCCCAGGTTCTGGCTGCTGAGGTAGCTGCTGCTGGCATCCTGGTAACCACTGTCCGAGTACGAGTTCATCTGAGCTGAGCTACACGAATTCCCTCCAGATCCTGAGAGATAATGAGAGAAAAACGACAGACGAGAATGAAATGCTGGGGGAGAGTATGGAGACCGGTTAGAGGCACAGGAACACATCATAAAGGGTTTCATAACAGATGTGACCTTTACTTAGGATAGCCTTACTAATGACAAATGGCACAGCAGGGGGGGGGTTACAGTTTTGTCAAGCTATTACTCAGTGTGCCATGGTGAATATCCAGCCTTTTATACCTTATGATTATACGGATAACAGTTTATCCTGAAGAATATAACGGTGAAAGACAAAAAATAAAAATAAAGAGTGTAATCATAAGGTATAAAATTAAAGAAAATTGTTTTCAAAACTGGCATCAGTGTAGTGGAACAACGCTGAGGCAAGAGAAAGCGAGCAGAAGAGAGGGCTGCAGAATGTAGAGAGAAGGCAACAACAGACCCTCACTTTCATGAAGGGAGGACTGCTCCGGGGAGTACAGAGACACCTGCTCTGACTCCGTCCTGATGCGGTACCTCGGGGACTGGGAGCTGTCAGTCACCCGAGACTTTGTGTCCCCCAAGGCACAGGCATCTGAGAAGACACGGCAGAGCAGAAAGTCAGGCAGAGAGGTGGAGCTTCAGGTCTGAAATAATCTCACAGTTTTCGGTCTTTGGGACTGAGAGTTTACAATAGTCGTTAAAGCAGTCAATAGTTTATGGAACTGAAAGCAAACAATACGACGGTAATTTCAGCAACATTAGTTTCACACTTGTATACAGTTGGAGTCATTAAATTTTACTACCATACTAATTTGGGAAGTCAAAATTGGGCGGCATGTCACTTCAATTGTGTATACAGCTATGCTCTAAATCGTTTCACAGCTCTAACATTTCCCTGCATCCCCTCTCGCGTCATGCATGGCAACAACGAGCGAGGCAAACAGAAGCCGAAATTAGCTGTCTAATGTCTCTGTGCACAATGTTTCTCCACAGTCACAATCTAGTTAAGCGTGACCAGAGTCAATGGATTCCTCTGCAATCACTAGAACAATTGGCAGTGAATGAAGGGAAGGAAGAAGACAAACATTGGTGGTCTGAGTTTGTCAGATCCTGCCTGGTTAGCTAGCGTGTGAATGAAAGCTGAATCCTGTGACTGAGCCGCCTTGTTGTCAAAACTGACCTGTTGAATAAATGTGTTGACATGTAGGCTTTGTGCATTTGACAACCTGGCATCTTGCACTCCCACCTTTGGAAGACTAAAGGTGCTTGGATATTTACTGAAGGGATTGAGTCAAAGCAGATCAAAGCAGATCTGGGGTCAGACTGTCAGAAAGCACAGTGGGGGTGGCCTGTTGCGAGAGAGGCATCCCCCATGTGGCTTCAGAGAGCCCAGTCTACAACAAACTCTGTGTCAACTGTGTCAGTGCAATTTAATGCGTGGATACTCGCTCACATTTTTGTGTGTGTATTTTTAAGTTTGCAACAAAGATGAAAAGGCATTTATTAGCCAAAGACATCAAACAACTCAACAATCTGAATTCTGACAGTGACTCGTAGTCTGGTACACACACAGCATGTAGTTTAGGACATTTTGTACCAAGCGCTCACTCTGTATGATAAATAATATGCCAAAAAGGAATAGACAAAACTGGAATAGACGCAGAGCGCAAGTGCAGAGCGAAACAGAAGCCTTTTTGATCTGTGTAGATTCACTATGTGTGTAATCTTCTATTTCAGATAGTTATTTTTTCCCCACGACTACTGACTAAAGAGGAGAGCAG